TTAAGCACCTTCTGAATAAGTAAATAAATGTAAGCCCTTGCACATTTTTTGGTCCTGTTGTAATCCCCATGGTAGTTCTGTTCCATATATGGCATCCGTAGTGACCTGTGATTAATCATACTTTCTATCTAACTAGAATTCTCATCTTACAATGTTTTTGGGTAGAGGGAAATTTATTTAAATGATCTAAGTATTGAGAATACAGAGAGGTAAATCCTGCAGTTTACCTTTGGGGTAAGTAAGAACTTTAAAGGTAATATTTCCATTTGTAAAAGGCAAGTGGTCCACAGGAGAGAGAGAGTTTAAAATTCTGTAATTATTGTGCTCAGTCAAGAATTCTCCTTTGTATTTCAGATACTCCATAAATTTCCATTCTTTAGTTTCTTTTTCTTCTATGGAAGAAGGGTGGTGTTTTAGAAAGCCCACTTTTGTGTATTCACTACAAAATCAAACAACATAAAAGTGAAACAATTGCAGATAATCCTTTAATCTTCATTCTCTCTTTGGCATTAGATTTTTCTATCAGGATTTAATGATTTTTCTGATAAGCTTTATATCATATAAAAATTTGCATACTGCTATAAAATATACCAAAGTAATTTATTTTTTCCCAGGCTGCAGTAGGCAGTCATTTTTAAAAACTTAATTTGTTACATTTTACTTTAAAGTGTGGCCTCTCTTCTATATAGAAGTTATTTTAAAAATACTTTTAGAGGTTATTAGCTCACCATCATTAATATAATAGTGCCTTTACATTTTTTTACTTGATTTTATTTTCAATAATACTCCAACCCCCACAAAAATATTGTAGCAAATTATAGCTTCAAGAAGCATACCATAACTGAAATCTATGTATGAACATTACTTCTTTTAAAAATTACATTAATGAATTCATTGTTCATTCTTTCCAGTGATACCTTATACAACAATAAAAATGAATGAACTAATGCAATATACTGAGTATATAGTATATACAGTATATGCATATACAGCTGAGGGAGTAGTATGGATGCATTTCACAAATATAATGTTGAGCAAAGAGAGCAAGTTGCATGCAATTAGCATATGATTACATATATTTAAAAGACAAAAAGCGGTAAAATAAAACTGTCGCCTTTAGGGATATATGCACATGGGATAAAAATAAGCAGAGGCAGGGAAAAAATGATTAACATAAAAGTCATCCATTAGTGGTTACCTGAATTTTGGGAGTTGAGAAGAGACGGAAATGCCATTGAATAACAGGGACTTTAATATATGAGGACTTTGAAAATATTAGTATTGCTCTATTTCCTAACTTTGAAGGTTGAATATGCTAATGTTCATTTGATTATTTATTAACACACACATATATTATATTTAATCTTGTGTATTTATGTTTTACAAAGAACATTTTAAAAGAAACGAAAAAAGCAATAGAGAGGAATGACAAAACCAAAAGCTCTTCTGTGAAAGTATATACAAACCCTGCTATGATTGAGCAAGTAAAAAGTAGAAAAGGCATAGATAAAACAATATAAGGGGGCTGGGCTCGGTGGCTCAGGCCTGTAGTCCTGGCACACTAGGAGGCAGAAGTCCATGAATTCGAGACCAGCCTTAGCAAGAATGAGCCCCAGCCCCTGTCTCAACTAAAAAAAAAAAACATGAAAGAAATTAGTTGGACAACTAAAAATATATAGAAAAAATTAGCCGGGCATGGTGCTGCATGCCTGTAGTTCCAGCTACTTGGGAGGCTGAGGCAGGAGGATCACTTGAGCCCAGGAATTTGAGGTTGCTGTGAGCTAGGCTGATGTCATAGCACTCTAGCAGGGCCAACAGAGTGAGACTCTGTCTCAAAAAAAAAGTCACAGTTATGGAGAAGACAAATGTTAAAAAAATAATACTAGTAGTAATTAGTAGTAGGTAATGCCAATTCATTTGAAAACAGACAAAACGGGCAATTTCCTACAAATGCAAATTACTGACATTGACTCGAGAAGGTAGACAAAATCTAAGTGGATTTACAACCATTAAAGAGATTCAGCTGGAAGCCAGATGTCTCCACACACACACTCCTTTATATCCTCAAGTCTCAGACTCATGATAGGTGAGTTCTTTCAAAATTACATGGAACAGATTATCTCTACCTTATATAAATTGTTTCAAAGTATAGAAAAAAATGGAACACTTCTTAACTCATGAGGATTGTATGAAGCTGGAAAATAGTAGCCTGATCTCACTTATGGACATATATGAAATACTGAAATAAATTACAGCAAACCAAACCAATAATGTATTTGAAAAATCATAATGTCCATGTAAGGTTTATTCCAGGAAAGATGATTTGACATTAGAAAATCTATTATTGTGTTTTAACCTAGTACTATATTAATAGAGAAAAACTGTGGTTGTTTCAAAATAGGTGAGAGAATTTTATTTATTGTTTTTAAAAAGAAATCTTAGCAAGGCCAGGTGTGGTGGCTCATGCCTGTAATCCCAGAAGTTTGGGAGGCCAAGGTGGGAGAATAGCTTGAGCCCAGGAATTTGAAATCAGCCTGAGCAACATGGCAAGCCCCATCTCTACTGAAAATAGAAAAATTGGCAGAGTGTGTGATAGCCTGCACCTGTAGTCCCAGCTACTAGGGAGGCTGAGGCAGGAGGATAGCTTTGAGCCCAGGAGTTTGAGGTTGCAGTGAGCTATGATGATGCCACTGCATTTTAGCTGGGCAACAGAGCAAGACCCTGCCTCCAACAAATAAACCTCAGTGAATTAGGAATATAGGGAATGAAATTTCCTAGCATAATGAAGCATATCTAACAAAAATGAATGAATGAATGAAATAAAGAAAAAAAGAAAAAGACTCAATGAATGGTGAAATGGTAAAAGCTTTCTATTTAAAGTTAGAAACACATCCACGATGGTTACTATAGTTGTTTCTACTCAGTGTTCTACTGGAGGTCTTAATAAGTACATCTGATAAAAGATATAATAGCAATAAGGAAAGAGGTATAAGATTAAAATGAAAAAACCTCATTGTCATTTTGCCAGCCATAGGATTAGCTATGTGGCAGATTCAACATTATTTGTTGATAAACCACTAGAACTAATAAAAGTCAGCAAGTTTCCTGAATAGCAACTCAATATTTTTAAATGATTTCTATATAACATCAACAAACAATTAGAGGAATCCCATTTGCTATAGCAATAATCATTAGTGTATTTCATATCTAAAATAAATCTAACAAAAAATGTGAAACATGCTTTTGCAAAAATTATGAAGCCTTATTGAAAGGCAAAAAATAATCCATAAATAAATGAAGAATGAATCATGTTCATGGATGAAAAGGATCAATAGCCTTAAAGCCAAATTCTCCTTAAATTAATATATAAATCAAATGGAATTTAGTCAAAAATTTTAGAAGGATTTTTTTTTAATTTAGCTGATCATAAAATTTTTTTGAGAGTTGAAGGCTAAATAGAGCAGATACTACTTTAAAGAGACATGACAGGGTTTGGGGTCACCATAACAAACACCAAGATTTATTATAAAGCTGTCTTAATTAAAATTATATAGTATTGATGTACAGATAAACACATACACTGATGAAATAGTGCAGATAGCTCAGAAACAAATTTTGTATTTGTGGAGCCAATGCCACATTATTGTAGAGAAAGGAAAAGCTATTGTATCAATATTGTTGTATCAATATTGTTGTATCAATATTGTATCAAGCTATTGTATCAAGCTCTGTATCAATTGGGTGTTGATGTGGCAAAAGATAATTATATAGCTAAAGTGAATCATGCACAAATACATTCCAGATGAGTGGAAGATTTAAAAGTTAGAGATAACTTTACAATTATTAGAAGAAAATATTGGATAATACATTTATGATAAGATAGGGAAGGGGTTCTTAACTATTGATAATACACAAAACACAGGCCAGCAGAAATGATTAATAAAATCGACTACTTTAAAAATGCCAAAGGAAATGATTAATAAATTTGGCTACTTTAAAATTGAAGCATTCTGTTTATCAAATAATTTTATTAATACAAAAAGTGTGAAAAAGCAAACCACGTAAACCTACAAGTAAAAAACTTTAAAAGGATAAACTTAATATGGAGAAATGATTAAAGGAAAAGAATAGACAATCTACAGAAGATGAATGGCAAATAAACACAAGAAAAGATGCTCAGTCTCACTAGAAATTAAGAAAATGCAAATTAAAATAATACCCATTAGGTTGGCAACAATTAAAAAAGTTATAAAATTAATTACAGGGAGAATAATGAGAAATAGGTTTAATACCCTAGGGACATTAATATAAATTGATATTAGTACTTTGGAGAGCAACTTGGCAATAACTAATGAAATTGAAGATATTCATAGATGGCATGGCAATTTCTATTTCAGGTATATATCCTAATATTTTGCACCTACAGATCTGTTCACTGCTGTACCATTTGTAATAGAAAAAAGGGAAAACAATATAAATGACCATCAATCAGGGAATGATAAAAATCAACTGTGGTATATTCATGAAAAAATCTCAAATATGGTTGAGAGAAAAAAGCAAATTGCAAAATTATGCCTATAGACATCTACTACCCAATATCAGTCTATATTTTGTAGGCACATGCATATACTGTGTAATGAAAGTAGTAAACCCTGTAGAAGAAGTATTAACACCTACTTCAGAAGAAACTATTCCCTGGAGAAGAGATGGAAACAGAAAATAGAGCATAGGAAACAGATGGAAGAGATGGAAACAGAGCATAGGACTCTGGCCACTTCTGTAAATTTTAATTAAAAAGTGAAATAAACATTGAAAAATGTTAATTTTTTAAAAGATCTTGCTGGGTACTGAGCATTTGTTACATTATGTTCTATTTGATTTAAATATTTCACAGTTAACTTAAAATATTTTAAAAAGAAAGGTGATTAAATATATCAAACATGGCTTTCTTTTGGGATTCACACATACCAATCCTACAGAGTTAAAATATATTTGGACCAATGGATACATTGTTGAAGAAAACCATTTCTCACCCCAATGTGACAACTGTATGTGTAAGGACAACAATAAATTGAGCATATATAATATGGTTTATTTTTTTTTAAGGGCAAACATCTTATTACTTTATTGTCTCAGTTTTCCAAAAATAACTTTGTGGCTTATTACAGTTAAATTAAACAACACTATTACATGTTAACCCTATTTATCCATATTTTTGAGGTGTTTTCTTTACTTGAAGCAAGGGTGAGGTAGATCTCTGAGAAGCGCAATAACCCTTATAGCACACATTATAAGAATTTTGGTTATGTATATATTTGCATATGCCCATATTAATATTTATAGTTTTATTACCATGAGTTAAAAATCTTTCGATATTGTGTAGAAATCTGTTTTATATTTGATTATATCAGAAATTAAATACTTCTTTGTGCTTATTATTCCATTTTATTTTGCTGAAATTATTTATGTTGAATTTATACATTAGAGAGAGTTGATCACTACCAATTTGTAGAAGTGAAACGTGGAAATGATATTTTTTTATCAATGACAATGTGCTCTGTTTTTAACAGCAGATTTACAAATGTGCACTCGTCACCACAATTTAATTTTAGAACTTTTCCTTCACCTTAAAAAGAAGCCTTCTGTACATTTACAACCATTTCCCATTTCTACCCTCAGCTGCAGGCAACCACTAACTTTATCCATATATATTTGCCTGTTTGGAACATTTTATATAAATGAAATCATACAATATATGCTCTTTTGTGTCTGGTTTCTTTTACTGGTCATAACATTTTTTAGGTTTATCCATATTGTAGCAGGTATACTTAATACTTAACAAAGTACTTTTTTAGAGCTAAATGATGTTCTGTTGTATGGGTATAATCATATTTTGTTGATCCATTCACCAGTTGATGGACGTGAGAGTTGTTTCCACTTTTTGGCTATTGTGAATAATGCCTTGTGCTATGGATATTTTAGATTTGCATTTCCCTTATGCCTAATGATGTTGGGCGTCTTTTCATCTGCATATTAACTATTTTCATATCTTTTTCAAATAATGTCTATTCCAATCCTTTGCTCATTTTTTTAGTGTTATTTATCTTTTTTTGAGTTGTAAGAATTATTTATACATATTGGACACAAGTCCTTTATTGCCTCATGATTTGACAATATTTTCTCCCATTGTTTGAGTTATATTTTCGCTTTCTTCATGGTATCTTTTGGAAAGCAAGAGTTTTTAATTTTGGTTAAGTCCTACTTATTAATTTTTCTTTATCATTATGTTGTTGGTGTTATATATAAGAAATCATTGCCTAACCCAAGATAGTGAAGATTTATTCTTAAGTTTTTCTATAAACAGTTTTAGTTCTTACATTTATGTCTGTGGTCAATTTTAAGTTAATTTTTGTGTGTGTTGTGAGTTAGCGGTCCAAATTCACTTTTTTTTTCTTTTGCATGAAGGGATCTAATTGTCCCAGCACCATTTGCTGAAAAGACTATTTATTTCCCTTGCACTTTCTGGAAGCTAACCATAAATGTAAAGGTTTATTTCTGGGATTTTGGTTGTATTGCATTTATTTATATATTATCCTTATGCCAGTACTGCTCTGATTATTGTAGCTTTGTAGTAAGTTTTGAAATTGGGAAATATAAGTCCAACATTTTTTTTCTTTTTCAAGTTTGTTTAGGTTCCTTGTGTTTGCATGAAGATTAATTTTCAATTTCTTTAAAAAAGTTAGCTTGGATCTTGATAGATATTGTATTAAATTTGTAGATGAATTTGGGGGAATATATATTCTGATCTATGAAGATGGGATAGCTCTTTATTTACCTGGGTCTTTTAACATTTCTTTCAGCAATGTTTTATAATTTTCATGTACAATCTTGTTCTTTGGCTATATTTATTCCAAAGTTTTTTATTCTTCTTTATACTATTACAAATGTAATTGCTGAGTTTTGTTCTCTGGTTTTTCATTACTAGTATATAGAAATTGATTAAGTTTTTCATGTTTATCTTATGTCCCATAGCCTTGCTGAACACATTTATACATTTTGATACATTTTTCAGTGAATTCCTTAGGATTTTCTATGTACAAGTTTATGTAATCTGTGAATAGAGACAAGTTTACTTTTTTTCTTTCCCCTCTGGGTGCCTTTGATTTTATTTTCTTGTGTAATTGCCCTAGCTAGATGCTCCAATTAAATGTCGAATAGATATGGTGAGAACAGACATCATCGTCCTGTTCCTGGTATTAGAGAAAAACGTTCTGCTTTTCTCCATTGAGTAGGAAGTTGGTTGTAAGTTTTTCATAGGTGCCCTTCATACATGCTGAGAAAGTTTTCTTCTATTCATAATTTGTTGAGGGTTTATTGTAAATGGGTGTTGGACTTTGCCAATTGCTTGTTTTGCTTCTATTGAGATAATCACATGTTTTTTGATATTTATTCTATACTTATATTAATGTTGCCTTTTTAATTCTAGGTCTTCAGTTTTGCTGCTGAAGCCTGCAATAAGGTGATATTTAATGTACCTTCTAAATCAGAGGCAGACACAATGATCGGCAGAGGTAAGAAATTTCAAAACAGTCTTTTTAAAAAGGACATATTTTTATTACTTGATCACTCTTTGAGCTCAGGTGTATAACTTTTGGCTGAAGATACGTGTATCTTAAAAGGCTCAAGCTATATTTGTTAAGGAGCCTTTTCTGTTTGTTTATTCAGGTGTTTATTTGTGGGTGTGTAGCTCAGCTTTCTCATGATTGCAATGTGCCTACCTCTTTAATTAGAAGATCATTTTTATAAGCCTATTAGAAACAATCAAGGTTTAAAACAGCTTATTTAATAGAAATACACAATCAAGAATTATTATTTCTAACTGAAAGAGAATTATAATTTTTTAATAATGTAAAAAGACAGGTTATGATGTTTGGAAAATGCATAGGGAGGGTTTATTTCATTCTACTTCATGATTTTGAACAAGATTGTATAAATTATTTTAACATCTGTCTTTTTTTGTTTGTTTGTTTGGTTTGCATGTGTTTCTACCTTATAACTTAAAGATTTTTACTTGCAGTTAATTTGAAAGAGTGCCTCAGATCCGTAGACCTCGTCCAGTCAAATGATACTGATTTCAGAGTGCTAGATGATGGGTCAGTGTACACAACCACTGCTGTTAAGTTCTCTAAGAAGAAAAGATCCTTCACTATACGGCTTTCTGACACAAAGAGACAGTTTCAGAAGAAGATTATTGTTCTCCTGGAATCTCGGAAGGAGGTATTCAAAGTGCATATTTCTCAGGCATATTCTTCTTTTCATTAGAATGCTGTCATTAAAAATGCAAACAGGACCAAAGGATACATATGGAATTTCTGTCCTCCCCTCCTCTCCCATTCCCCCTTTTTTTCCTCCTCCCTTCTCTCTTCTGCTCTCCCTCTCTTTTTTTCTCTTTCCTAACACTGGGCAAACATTGCCTTTGGTTTTACTTTGTTAAATGTAAATGATACTTCCCTTGTGAAGGCTTCTTCCACCTCTAAAGTCTAACTAATGGCTTTTGTGCACCAGTGTCAGTTTGATTACTCCTCTGTCACAGCATTCAGAATTTTTTATTATTGCAAACAATTTATCATGAAGAATGTTGTTATGAAAATCGTCACAAAATGATGAAAAGGTTTAGACTGGATTACACCTAATTTATGTTAACTCTCTAAATGATAAAGCAAATTTAAACAACTGCTTAGCATTTTACTAATCATGTTTAATATAATTATTTATTAATTTTGATGAAATAAAATGTCTCCCTTATAATATGAAATAAATGGATGTCACTAAAAATTCCAATGGAACTTTTTGCAATGGTAGAAATGTTCTAGAATCTGCACTGTCTGATATGGTACCTCACTTGGCATGTGGCTAGTACAACTGAAGGATAGAACTTTTCATTTTATTTAATTCTAGTAAATTTATATTTAAATATCACATGGCTGGGGTTGGCTGCCATATTGGACAGTGCAGATAGAGCACTCAGGCAGTGAAGGACTTGCATTTTCTTTCTCTGGTTCACCTGAGAGGGCCGGGTTTTAACAGAAAGAACAAGTATGTGCTATCTAGAGATTGTTAGAGAGAGGAAGTGTTCTCCATCTCTATTTGGGACAAAGCAAGAAGAACTAAGAGTACAGTGATGATTTTCCTAATCTGAAAGTATGGGCAGTATTAGAAAGGTAAACAAAAGGAAGTTATCTAATCTCTGAAACCTTTACAATTTGGACATATTCTTTCTTATCTTTCTAATGCAAAAAGACTATTTACTGGGCTACCTTCAGCAAGGAAATTCCTGAGCCTAAGCCTCCAGAGAGGCATTAGGTTTATGGGCTGTCTGCTATTTTGCAACAAAGTATGCTGAAGTGCTTTTATTTATTAATTTTTTCTTTCTCTAAATTCAGGTATTGAAGAAAAGACAAACTAAAGAAACTGTTCTCAGGCGTGCCAAGAGGAGATGGGCACCTATTCCTTGCTCAATGCAAGAAAATTCCTTGGGCCCCTTCCCTTTGTTTCTTCAGCAAGTAGGTTTACATTCCTTCTGGTTGAGAGTGCTTTAATTCTAAGAGTCTGTTTTGTTCCTTTTTAATAATTCTTTAAACATTTATAAACAAACTGATCTGATTGAAGATGTTCATGAGGTACAATAAATGCAAGTAAAATGAGAAAGAAAATCACTAAAGAACTGATAACATGAGAAAGACTCTAAAGCCATTGAGTGATCTTTGTTTATTCCTTTAGTAGATAGTTATTGAGCATCTACTGTATCCTGTGGAAGGCACTGCTCTGGGGCCTAAAGATAGAAATAAATTTAGTCATGGCCCTTGCTTGCTGTCATGTGGCTTATTGGCTGAGTGAAGGAGATAAAGAAGTAGGTGCTAATGATTAGGACACTCAGTGATGAATGCTATGACTCTATGACAGAGATGCAGATCTGATAACATATCATAAGGTGGTAAAAAGCAACAAAAGCCTTAGAGGAGGAGACATCCGGGTTGAGTCCTGAAGGATGAGAAAGTTTTGTGCAGGTAAATAATTATGGAAGAAGAGGGAAGTACAGAGGTGAGAGCAAGCATGGCTCCCTAGAGCTTAGTCTTCCTAAATATGATATGGGGTGGAGCAGGGAGATGGGGCAGAAGAGGCAGGTTGGGGTGAAACTATTATGGGCTGTGTGTGTTCTGCACAGAAGTTTAACTTTATCCTAAATATAAGTAGAAATTTTTAAACAGGTTGATGACACGATCAGGTTTACTTTTCACATACTGAAGTAGGGCTGTGGCCTTGTGCTTGCCTTTTTTTCCCCCCTTAAATTTCTATTACTGTGATTTCTATTTAACATTGATGGTGTGACTTGTGTGCTACTTGTTTAAGTTTTTAGCTGTCCTTCCAGAAGAGTCTTTTACACTTATTTTTTATTCTATCCAGTGCTAGTTACTTGTTTCTTCTTCATGAATATTATACTCAAACACTGATGAGGCATATTGAGAAATGATTTTTGGTTGCTGAAGTTATACTAATCATAGCTCTTTTTAGCCTTTGCATTGCTAAACTGGTCACCACTTCTTAGTCCTTGTTTCTTTGACTTACATACATTGGACATAGCTGATCTTTCCCTCCTCCTGGAAATATTTTCTTCACTTGGCTTCTAGAACACCATTCACCTAGTTTTCCACTTATTTCATTGACCACTCACTCCTTAGAATGTTCTTCCTCACCCACCACCCTTGCCCCCCATCCCAGTCTCTAAACTTTGGAGAACTCCAGGGCTTGGGTAATTAATCTTGTCATTTGTTTATTGACATCCATGCTCTTGGTGATCTCACCCAATCTTGTGGCTCTAAGTACTGTTTATATACTGGATATTGAAAACTTTATATTTCCAGCCCAAACTGCCTAATGAATATTTCTACTTGGAAGCTTAAAAGAATTTCAAACTTAACATATACAAATAAAATACTTGATTTTTCTCCTAAAAACATCCTCCCATCTGAGTTAGTGGCAGTTTATTCCATCTAACTATGTGGTTATTGGAGTTTGTTTCATAAGGTTTTAGTTGTAGAAAGCATACTTCTCTCTAAGTAGTCAACAGATAGGGATTTAGTGCAGTGTATTAAAGAGTTTACAGAATTGTTGGGAGGGCTGAAGAAACAAACTTTGGTTGAACTTTCAGAAACAAGTCCTCAAGCTATCTATACCAGAGAACCTGCAACTGAGGGACATATTACTTTCTCCATGAGGGAAAAGACTCTGATTCTAGAACCAAAGTGCCACTGGCACAGTCAGGAAAACACCACAATCAGGAAACTCTTCCTCCTCATGCAACTTCAGGACAATCTCTGAATGACCCCAACCAATATCAGCAAAAAGACTGGTTCATAACCTGTCTCTCAACACCCACAAAGTTCGTGAATAGCTAGAGGTACTTCTGTTTTGGCAGGGAAAAAAAGAAAGATAGAAAAAGCAAAGGAGAGAAAAGAAAACAAATGCATCAAACTATAATGCCAGCAAAAACAGTAGAATCAGCACAAACAAGATATCTGCTTTACTTATGACTTCCAAATCATGTGCAAGCACATCTGATTGTCCAATTTAAATTCAGAACTCTGGTTTCAAGAGATTCTGCAAAATTTAGGGTTTTTGGTTTGTTTTTGTTTGAATCTTCCTAGTATCTACCCTATGAAAGGACATTGGACATTATAGAAGGAAAATAAAATGGAAGTTGATCTGTTTACCATGTCCATCTATTTTTTTAATAGCTAAACTTTTAGTTCCTGTATTGTTACAGGAATTAGTATAGCTACATTTTACCAAGATCCCAAATGATAGTGACTTAAGCAAGACAGTGACTCTCATATAAAAGTGTGATCAGGTAAAAATGTTCTAATTTGAGAAAACACTAGGGACCCAGGGTTCCCTTATTTTGTAGCATGGTCAACTCTGCACATTCAAGATGGCTCTGCATTGTATCCAAAAGGGAAGACACACTCCCTCACCTTCTAGAGCACAGTTTGGATCTTGCACATATTATTTTTGTTCACATCCCATTGAGCTGACCTTCTAGTGTGGTTATGCCTAACTGCAAAGGTGACTGAGAAATGCCTTTCTTTTGGGTAACCTCTTATGCTCAGTTATAAATTCTAATCCACAAGAAGATGGGCAGAATAGATATGAAGAGATACTAGCATCCTCTGTTATGGTATCCTTGACTTCCATCTTTCTACCATACATCCAACCCATCAGCAAATTCCGAGAGCTGTATCTTTAAATTATATCCAAAATCCAGCCACTTCTCACCACCCTATTGCTACCATGTTAGTTTAACCAACTATCATCTCTTCCTAGTAGTTTTGCAGTAACTAAGTGGTCTTTCTACTTTTTTCCTTACCCATATGCCCAAATCTAGTCTTAACAAAATAGCAAGTATTGTCCTTAATAATATAAGTCAGTTGGGTGCGGTGGGTCAAGCCTGTAATCCTAGCACTCTGGGAGGTCAAGGTGGGCAGATCGTTTGAGCTCAGGAGTTAAGACCAGCCTGAGCAAGAGTGAGACCCCGTCTCTACTAAAAAAAATAGAAAGAAATTAGCTGGACAACTTAAAATAAATAGAAAAAATTAGCGGGGCATGGTGGCACATGCCTGTAGTCCCAGCTACTCAGGAGGCTGAGGCAGTAGGATTGCTTGAGCCCAGGAGTTTGAGGTTGCTGTGAGCTAGGCTGACGCCATGGCACTCACTCTAGCCTGGGCAACAGAGTGAGACTCTGTCTCTAATTAAAAGATATGTAGGTATAAAGTTTGCTAATGTGTTCAGAGAACTTTAAAAATGATCAAAGGTACATAAACAATATAATTAATATGCAATAAATAAATAAATCAGATGATGTTATTCTTATGTAAATTTAATTCTCCAGTGGTTTCCCATATGATCCCAAGGAAGAGCCAACATCCTTGGATTCTGCACGATGTGGTCCCTATTCCTTTACTACATTTTCATTTCATATTTCTTTCTCCATTTCTCTTTCTACTCCAATCACAGTGACTTCCTTGCTACTCCTTGAATATTCCAGGCACAACCCTGGCCTGTTCCCTTGCACTTGCTATTTGTTCTGGCAGGAAGAGCCTTCCCTGTTTATCCTTATTATAGCTCATTCTTTTAATTTTTGTCAATTTCCCTCCCTAATGTATGTTCCAATTGGCATTCCTCTCATTGGTACATGAGAGTCCCTATTTGCCTTACTCTTGGCAAAGGTATTAGGTATTATTGTTCTTTTCTATTGAAATTATCTCCTTAAAATAAAAATAATAGACATACAAAAATGCATCAACTGTATTTAAAAATATCATTTTAACTGAATTTAATTGTAATTTTTTTTTGCATACTTTTTTCCCTTTTAGGTTCAATCTGATGCAGCACAGAACTATACCATCTTCTACTCGATAAGTGGGCGTGGAGTTGACCAAGAACCTTTAAATTTGTTTTATATAGAAAGAGACACTGGAAATCTGTTTTGCACCAAGCCTGTGGATCGTGAAGAATATGATGTTTTTGACGTAGGAGTTTTACTGATATACCTGACTTTAAATTATTAAGCTGTGTTTCTTCTGATACTCACTCCATCTACTCTTTCCTGTCTACTTGCACTCTCTGCTTAGAAGGTATCTTAGAATCAAAGGAAAGTAGAGTGTGCAATGTTTGGGGATACTTGGTCAGCTTCTTTATATCAACTTCTGTTAGGTAAGCCTGAAATGAAGCAAAGAGATTTAATTGTATTTGAATGTAAATTTCAGTAAATTTCCCATCAATTGGTTTTGCTTATGAAATATTCTCTCTCTCTCTCTCTCTCTGGTCATTGATGCATTTTCCTCTCACCAAGACATGTCCATATTTGATTGGAAGGGTCCTCTTTCTCTACTGTTCTGCCATTTTTGTCTTTCTTCCACATGCATGATTCTCTGATCGTGTCTTAAAACTAGATAAGGAAACAAAAGTGGGAGACCAAACCCAAATAAGGGTTACTAAGCCAGAATTCTGATATGGATGAGCTTACAGTCAATGGGGAATAACTCAGACAATTTTCAGTATAAATGGTAAATGCCACAGGGTCATATGCCATTCCTGTGGTTCACGGGGATGATTCTTCATTGGAATGAGGGATTCTGTTCCCAGAAGAAGAGGGACAAGATGCTGTATGACCAAACATGACTGATGTCCCCCATGTGATGTTCTTTGCTTTTGGTTAGAAAATGTTCAGTTCAGTGTTTTCATAATGTGAATAGAAATACATTCTATTTGACATTACATTGCCTTTAGTTAGCAATATGGCAATCAGTAAGTGTATTTTGTTAGAAAAACTCTTACAAATATGTGGTCTCTTGGGTAAAGCAATAAAAAGGCTTGGTGGTGACAAGATTGGGAATTGTTGGCTTATTTAGAAGACGTCGTAGGGATTTTTCTCATTGCAGTGGGTTTAATTGTCCTCCCCAGTATAACTTTCTGATTGTGGAGAAAATAAAAACTATAATGCAAGTCTCTATATTGACATTTAATTCCTCAGTCCAGGGGTCCTCAAACTTTTTAAACAGGGGGCCAGTTCACTGTCCCTCAGACTGTTGGAGGGCCGGACTATAGTTTAAAAAATACTATGAACAAATTCCTATGCACACTGCACATATCTTATTTTGAAGTAAAAAGCAAACGGGCAAAAACACCTGCATGTGGCCCACGGGCTGTAGTTTAAGGACGCCTGCCTCAGTCTAATGGACAGAATCATCCCTTACTTCTCTGTACTCTGTTCTCTCTGTACTCTGTACTCTTCTTCAGTACTCTGTACTGAAGTTTTTTTTTTTTTCCAAGTAGCCATTTCCACCAAATACTGGATGCTCTTTGCAGTAAAGTGTTTCTCCATTCAATGCTTTGATAATTTCAAAAGCATTGAATAAAAATCTTCCATGTGGTTTATTATTGAAAAGACTTGCAAAGAAGGTAGTAGATAAAGCATCGTATTCCTTCTTTTTAGAATCTGATACTGACAGGCTACTGAACTTGCCTTTTCCTGGTTTGCAGTTGATCGCCTATGCCTCCACTGCAGACGGGTACTCCGCAGATTTGCCTCTCCCCCTGCCCATCAGAGTAGAGGATGAAAATGACAACAAACCTATTTTCACAGAAGCAGTTTATAACTTTGAAGTTTCAGAAAGTAGTAGACTTGGTAAGTCTGCTTTTAAGCATAAAATGTATCATTTTAAATACGTTTGTGTGCACTTTTTGAGACCCTGAGCTTTTTCATACTCGAGGCCAGATCATCCTGAGATAACACTCAGCTCCTATTTACTTACCAGAAAATATAATATTAAATCCCAATTCCAATCAATATGTGCCATCCAGGGTAGAGTGAACAACAAAAAAATTAAAATCAGCATACATATTTTTATAAGGTTTTGTTTAGGAAGGTGTTAAATGACATTCACTGAGGATGCAATTATTTTAAGCTCTAATTTATATTCTCTTCTCTTAAAACTGCTACCTCACTACTTGCAGTTTGGAATGAATGCTGGAATCATTTCAGAGAAACTTACATCACATATTCTTCGTCTTGAACACTTGCTCTCACATGTGGAAAACCAAAGTAGTTCATTTTACCTGGCCCTTACATGTGGCATTCAGGATGGGTTCTGAGACTTGCACTATGGAGAATAGCCACTCACAATAAAGTTGAAAGAACATGGGCTCAGTCATAAGGGATGACTTCATGCCAACTTGTCTATTAAAGTTTCCAGTAGTCACTTAGATCTTGACTGCATTATTTTTATCTGATTTTTACTTTATATTTTACTTTGAAAATTTAATGTCATTGATGACATTAATGACATTAAACTTGTTTTATAAGTTAAACACCTGGTACAATAACAAAATTAAAAAAAATCATTGGTTTAGAGTTTAAGAAACCTAGTTTTGTTTTCTTTTTGAATAAATTTTATTGTGCATAGTGGGGATCTACAGTATGATGTTATAGGATACATGTGAATAGTAAAAATGGTTATAATAGTGTAGGAAACTTAGTTTTTGATGTAGGGTCTGTTATTAATTCACTGTGGGAACTCAAGGAAGTCCCTTTGAATTTTCTTACCCGTAAAAGGAATTAATTACGTTTTATAACCTATAATGTCTTTAGCCTTACAATTTATGACTCTGTTATGTTTTCCCTTCTTCAAAAAGGGGTAATTGGTTTCAGACTCTTTTTTGAGGATTTTATACTCTTTAACAGTAACAGAGAAAAATAAAGGATAAACACTTTGACACCCACATTAACCCAGGGTACTTTAAACCCATTACATCAGTAGGTTCCAACCAGTTAAGGCTGTGATACTAAGTTGATGGAGGGAATAAGTCAAATCAGGGACTAGCAAAAAAGATCACAGAAAGGAAAGACTAGGCTACTGAAAGTCAATTTGACCGTCTGTGTAATTACTGTATACCCCCAAATTGGTCTTGATATAGCTATTAATCAAAAGTCCCATGGAAAAAATCTGAATTACTTAGGTGCCATGGTTTATTCCTCCACCTAGGTTTGTTACTGCAATGTGTGGAAAGATGTGGTAAAGTTGTTTTTGATTGTTATTTAACTAGTAAATGACTAAAAAATAGTAAATGATAGTAAATGACTAAAAAAATATTATTTACTATCAAACATTTTAAACTGTGAGCAAAATAAAAGTATACCTTAATTTTCAGCATCCAAATATTTTGTATGATAAGTTTGAAGTCACATTCATCAGTACTGTTTAAAGATGGAATACCTCTGTTAAGAAATATATTTTAGATTAAGTGTCCACCATCATTGCTGAAACTTTAAAAATATACATACTTCTAAATAAATTTTTAAATTCAGGAAATTAAAGGGTCTTTTTTTGTTGTTGTTTTTAATGTGTAGGTACTTCAGTGGGGGTGGTTTGTGCCACAGATAAAGACGAACCAGACACGATGCATACCCGCCTGAAGTACAGCATTTTGGAGCAAACGCCAAGATCACCTGGGCTCTTTTCCGTGCATCCCAACACAGGCGTGATCACGATCATCTCTCACTATTTGGACAGAGAGGTAGCTTGCACGCTCCATGGAGTTTCATTGCACAGGGAATTGAGCACCCCCTCTCCTCCCATTGACTATAATTTGCTATTTGGTGGATTGCGTTTTTGATTTTATTTTAGGCATAAGACTTTAACACTTACATTAATTCTATTTCTCCTTATGTAAGAGTAGCCATAAGACATAGAAATACAAATCAATCAGTATTTAGAAGGAGTAAGAAAAAAATCAAAAAGGTATTTCCTATAAAAATTGTTATTGAACATTATTTTATTTTTTATGTGTGGCTAGTGGTTTCTCATTCAGCAAAGGTTTCAATTCTCATGTAGGACAATTAGTCTTGCTTGTTGCATGAGTGTAGATCATACCCTGATTCCTGTCCAATTATTACAGATATGTGTGCTTTTAGTTGGGAAAGGATTAGTTGAAATCAACTTGATGGGTTATTTAAAATATGGAACATTTTTTGAATGATAGTAATAGCATATTATCATGTATACGGCACTTTATGATCAACTTCTTTATGCATAATTTTATTTGAGTGTTAGAATGTCCTTGTTTAATGAGATAGGTGTGATAGCCAATTTTCAGGGGAGAAGTCTGACAGTCAGAGTGATTGTCTTGCTCAAGTCAAATGATTGCACTGAATCTGTTAATCTTTTTTGTTGTTTTTATTCTGTCCATTTTGTCAGCCTCCATTTAACTCAGAGCCAAGCATTATTGACTAAAGCAGATGAATCGATTTCATATGTAGAAAATGGCTTTGTATTTTTCCACTACAACTAGAATACCATGAATGAAGGGTCAATATGATTGGGAGAGATATTGCAAAGAAGAAATCAAGAGGATTTGATGCCAAAAAAAGAGGGAGGGATGGTGGGAATCTGTGAAAAGGAATCAAAAGTAGACAAAAGTTTTAATTATAGTTATTTTTATTTTTGTGGAGTCAAAGCGTTTTATTTTATATTATAAACAGAAGGATAGTAATAAATGGGAAAGTTTGAAGGGGACAGTATGAATGTGTTTTTGTATCTGTAGAGTATGTAGAGATGATGTGATAATCAAGTGAATAATTGACAACTGGCAAGTTAACAGGTTTTAATCAACAGAGTAAAAAATGAGGTTTAGAAAAATTAAACTTAAGGTTACACAGATACATTTTTGGGTTCAAACTCAGGCCTGCTTTCTTGGTGAGGGTATGTGTGTGGAGGGGCGGGGAACGATACCAGAAGTAAAGAAATGAACACAAGAGATAAAGAAACAATCAATTTAGAAGAAGCAGAAGCAAAAATAGGGTATCAGAGAGTCTTGAAGACTATGGGGGCAGTGTTTTAAAGTGGGAATATTAATTTTCAATGTGGAACAGAGATCAAGTAAAGTGAGGAGTAAGGGAAGAAAGAGGGAGACAAAAGATGAAGAAAAATAAAAGAACAAAAGGGTGGCTACAGAATAATAAGGTAAAAGAGAAAGGCAGCAAAGATGATTGTTTCACAAATTAAGGACTTCAGTTCGATATCACCACACCATCTGCAAAAGTCCATTGCTGCATCCAACAATTACCTTAAATCCCTGTCTATTGTTGACAGTTGTTGAAATTCTCTCTTCTCTTGATTTCCTGGTTTTCCTTCTGCATCTCCAATATTTCCTTTTAAGTGGCCTTTGCATAGTCTTCTTATTTGCCCCATGCTTGAAATGCTGTCCTTCCTTAAGTCTTCAGCTCTTCCCATCCTGTAACTTTCCCGAATAATCTGATTCCTGCTATAATTTCGATGGCACCATTTACATACTGATGACTTGCAGATAGATATTTCTGGCCACAATTTCTCCGTTAGGTATGAGGCCATCTACCCAGTGCCTTCTGGACTGTACTCCTTAGATTTCCCTTAGGCACATAAAATTCAACACATGCAAAATAAAACTCATTATTTTCACTCCTCTTTGCCAGTCCTAGTACTGTTCACTTCCTCAGAGACTTGTCTCTTCTGCATTTGCTCTAATTGGTTGGTGATACCCCTGTCTCTGTATTTCTCCAGGTGGGACACCTGAGCCTAATTCTCAACCCCCCTCTTTCTCTCTTAACTTGTATATAGAATTCATTATCAAATCTTACTGCATTCTAACTGCCAAGTAACTCTCCCGTCACCCTTTCTCTGTATTTATTGCTACAGCTTCAGATTTGGAACCCCTGTTCTTATCGCCAGAGCTCTTTGACTGGTTGCTCTGATTCTCAGATTAACTCATTTCAAATTACATGAAAACTTCTTTAAGAATATTCTTTCTAGGCTGGGGGCAATGGCTTAAGCCTGTAATCCCGGCAATTTGGGAGGCCGGGGTGGGAGGATCGCTTGACACCAGGAGTTTGAGACCAGTCTAAGCAACATAGTGAGGCCCCATCTCTACAAAAAATGAAAAATTAGCCGGGTGTGTTAATATGTGCCTGTAGTCCCAGCTACTGAAACAGGAGGATCGCTTGAACCCAGGAGTTTGAGATTGTAGGGAACTACGACATGCTATTATACTCTAACCTGGGTAACAGAACAAGACCCTGTCTCCACCCCCGAAAAGGATATTCTTTCCGAATTTCAAATGTTCTAATTTTGTGCTTACCTTATGACTTCCATAAAACCTTTCCCTATTACCTGTTACTTAAAGCTTAAGTATAAATTCTTGGTATAGCTCTTCGTGTTTAACCTCTGCCTACCTTTTCAGCTTTTCCTTGTTTACCAGATTCCTAGAGTATATGCAAATACGGAAATCAAATAAAAGCATGGATCCACACAAATAGAAATGCATGCAATTGAAGTTTTATTTATAAATGTAAACAAAAATTTTCAACACTAGTTAAATATTTGCTTTGTTTTCAGGTTGTAGACAAGTACTCATTGATAATGAAAGTACAAGACATGGATGGTCAATTTTTTGGATTGACAGGTACATCAACTTGTATCATAACAGTAAAAGATTCAAATGATAATGCACCCACTTTCAGACAAAATGCTGTAAGTATATAATATCAAAATCTATCTCTGCTTTATTTATTATCATTTTTTATTTAATCTGAATTAATAAAATATTTATCATACTTTGGGATTTTTATGTTTATTTTATTACTAAAATTAAAGTTTAAACAGATGATAATATAAATCTATTTTTTAAATTCATGTTAGCACTTATATTATCTCTCTTTTGTTAAAGGCCAGTAAGACTAGAGCATTTGTAGTGAAATTCTTCTTTTATTAAAAAGATAACCCATAATGAAACAATAGCATCTATGATTCATAGTTTTGAAATAATCAATATAAAATGATAAGGATAAGTACTTTTGAAGTGGAAGAAGTATTTCACTTTATTTGAAAAAATTCTCATTATAAAGTAAATTTTCAATGAGCTCTTTCTGTTTCAGTATGAAGCATCAGTAGAGGAAAATGCATTCAATGTGGAAATCTTACGGGTACCGATAGAAGATAAGGATTTAATTAAAACTGCCAATTGGAGAGCCAATTTCACCATTTTAAAGGGAAATGAAAATGGAAATTTCAAAATCAGTACAGATAAAGAAACTAATGAAGGTGTTCTATGTGTTGTAAAGGTACAGTAATATTGAATAATTGACAACTTGGCAAGTTAACAGATTTTATTCAACTAATGATTTAATCAACTAAATAGTTTCAGATCATAGACTCTGTAGGTTGGAAGAGAATTTAAAATATATTTTAATCCACTGTTAGTATCTAATGCCTGCCTGTCTTCTATAATTTTATTGCCAGTCACTAACATGTAGCTTATACGTGAACACCCTCAATTATAAGGATCTCCATGTTCTCGTTGGTAGCTTATTCTGTATTTAGAGAGCTCTGATTCTCAGAAGTTCTTACTTCTACTGTGCCCAAGTTATTTTATTTATAGCCCATGTTTGGTTCTGATTCTTCCTCCAGTGCTACTCAGAACAGGAATAGTTCTTTTGAAAAGGCTGCTATGTCCATTTGAGACTGACCTTTTCTAGGATAAATATTCTCAATTCCTTTAACTAATCCTTACATGGTATAATTTAGAAGCCCAAATACTTCTCATTCTCTCTATAATATATACCTGATTGTAGCTAATGCTTTTAGAGATGATATTGAGGTTGAAGTATAGTACTACATCAGACAGCAGTGAATGAATTTATTTTTTGTTCTGTATGTTGTATATTTGGTTGTGTTATTATATTCTGGGCTATATTCCAGGCTTTGAGCGCAGGAAGGGCACTGTTTGAGAAGGATCCTTGATTTTATACCTCTAGTCCAGAAGAAAAAATAATATTGTCCTATGGACAAGTGAAGAATCATTCATTTAATAAAAGAGGCTTACCTGCCAGTAATAATATAGTGACATCTTTGCTACATAAACATCTCTATTTGCAGTTGTTTCCTTGGTAAGACTTTCCAGAGATTATATACTAAGACTTGGTGAGTTCTAGCCAGATGTGAAAAGTCAAATATATTCTCTCAAATATCTCCCTCTTTCATTTTTCTATAATATGATCTGCTCAAATTGAAGACTAAAAGCCCGGTACTAAAAAAAATAAAAAAAACCCACTAAGCTTTATAATTGAGATTAATAAGAAAGAAAATGGTACTTGTTTTTTCTTCTTTTAGTTCAAATTGATCCAGTCTTCATTTAGATTCTCCAGAAAGCTAGACCCAAGACAAGGACATCAATATATGTAGATATTTAGGACATGGATCCCAGGAAGCCAGAGTGAAAATGGGAAATTAAGATAGGAAAGGATGAAAGGCTAATCACATCTGCATTATTGAGCTAGTCATCTCTCGTGTTCAGCCATTCAAGGAACCATGTAGATCTTACCTCAGAATTATCTCCTCAAAGACAGGTACCTGGGATATTTACCCATCAACCCCCATTCTCAATACCCATGCCCCATTGGTTGAGGGTTACCCCCAGGGAGGCTTAATTCCCTTGCATTTGTGGGCTGAGCTGTGCCTGTCATCAGCTGAGGGAGCTCTCTGGTTTTAGAGGAAACCCTGAATCCAAGGAGCCAAGTCTTTGGGTGCTTGAAATGTGACTCTTTCAGCATAAATGGGAACTGGCTGAGGGGCTGTAGTGTATAATTGTTTTGAAAAGGGCTGCTATGCGTCTAATACAATTTCCATGGCTAGACATATATGTAGTACAGGCAGTCACCTCAAAATTGATGCCATTGCAGCAGATATTTTGTTAAAGGTTTCTCTTAGACATCCTTTTTTCCTCTTCCCCTTACTATGCCTTGGCTTCTTCTATAAAAAAGCCAAAGGAGGAGTTTAAGATATGGGGTGGATAGATTATGCTAACGATAGTAGCTCAAGTTAGAGACCCAAGCTCAGATCTTTTGGCATGCTTTCTCTCTGCTCCTTGGTCAGAGGCTTATATTTCTCAGGTCTCTCTCATTCAAGGCCATTACTCAAGACCCATATGGAGAAACTCTGTATTTTCATTATTATTTAATATCAATGGGTTTGTCTTGCTTAGGGAAGCAAAATTTAAATAACACTAGGAATTAAATTTCAATTTGTAAGTTTTTTTCTTTTGATCAATACAAAACGATCTCTAGTAAACTTTTTCAAAAGAATATATTCAAAAAAAAAAAAGGAGGTATAACCAATGCATAGACATACTTAGTATTCTTTTACAAGTCTTTTTTCCAAGAAGTTCTGATCATAGAAATATTAAGAAAAACATTTCTAAATATGTTTGAAAATGATAATATATATCCTGAAATATTTCTCATTCCATGTGACTGATAAACATCTGTTTCATTTCTGGGTGCCACCCCAGGGTTCCTTAGTATGGAGAGTAGTTAGATAATAATATTTTACTGCTTTGTCTCTGGTTTAGTTTCACTTAATTTCATGTATGAAGAATATAGAAAATTTCCTCCCCAATAAATTTTTCATACATTTATTTCCATTGTTTTAAAACATAAGATAGTTGCACTTATATTTAATAATTATATCCTAGTTCCTACATCAAGGAAATACTTTTAGTATTTTTAGAATTTTAAAAGTAGTTACCATAAGCCAAATCTCTTTTATGTCATAGGGAATACTAGGCACTTCATAGAAGTTGTCACATCCTCTATACGATAAGATATTATCCTCATTTTACAATGAAAACACAAAATGAAACAAAACAACAGCCTGAGACTGATGGAGGTAAATAACTTTCTCAAAGTCAAACATACAGTAATTATTTACCCTGGAATACAAACCTAGTCTGTATTGCTCCAAAGTTAATGATCTTTCAGTTACTTCATGCCATGCCCCATTAAGCCCATACAGCAGTTTGTATTCTATATGTCACAGCATCTATTTGTAGCCTCTTACCATGAAATCCAATTATGTTCTCATATTCATATTGCATATTAGACCCAAATTAACAATAATGGCAAACATTTGTTATTTACTAAATGCCAGACATACTGCTGGGTGCTTAACACGTAGTGTCTCATTTAATCGTTTTCAATGCCAATAGACTTATTTATTATTACATTTATTTATTAATTTACTATTTATTTTTAATTTAGGTTTTGAATAAACAGCTCATTCACAAAGTTCAAAGGAAACAAAAAGTATAGTGTAAAAAGTCTCACTTTTACCTTGGTCTCTCAGTCACTCAGTTCTCCTTGGAAGAATCAATAAATGTTAACAGTTTTTTGTATTATTCATAAGGCATCTTATATATATGCAAAGATGTTTAAGTAGTTTTACCATGTTTCTTTTTTTAAAACAAATACATTTTTCTTCTATTAACACATCTCTGAGTTCATTACATAGACATGTGTAGTATTTCATGGTATGGACATACCATATTTTTAAACCAGTTTCATATCTATGGAAGTTTAGACCATATCAATGGGTATTCTATACTTCTTTTCTGCACTTTTCTTCATTCAACAACTTATCTTTGAAGTCATTACATATTAGTATTAAATATGTAAATATTTTCATCATTTTCTTACAGCTGTATATTTCAGATATTTCAGTGTAATATCCACGAAATGGATGCAAAATATTTTTTCACTAGTTATGTATACATGGAAATTTTGGCCATATTGATGGAAATTCTAATCTTTTTATTATTTCAAAATATGCTGGAATGAACATACATTACAATTTATATGCAGTATGATAAATTTCTAGAAATGGAATTGCTTAGTTAAGGACATGGCTGTTTTTATGTAGTAGATTTATTCTCTACTTGTCTTCCAGCATGGTAGTGCCTGTTGACATTTTCACTAGAAATGTACACACATGCCCCTATAAGAATATAAAATACATAACATGTATTTTAGCATTTGCAATGTTCCATCTCACCCTTACCTAATACTCTTTCTTTTTGGATTTTTTCCCTAAGAATATTTTGCTTGTTTGCTTTTTGATATGAACTTTCATATTAGCTTCTACATGAAAAAATGCTCTTCATGATGTTTCTGGGATTATATAAATTTTTTAGGAAAAGTTAAGGAGAATTAGTATTTTTCTCAGATTGTCATACCCAAGATCATAATTTTATTTTTTTCAGGTATTATAAAGTTAATTCGCTTATATTATGCACATTACTCAGTAAGTTTATTTATAGAAATTTTATTTATATTGAAATGGGGCTTTTTATTATGGCTTCTAACTAGTTGTTTGTATATATGAAAATTGCTGATTTATGTATATTCATTTTGTATTCAACCAACCTATTAACTTGTCTGGTTGTTTGTAATTCTATTTGAATTGATTCCTTTGATAGCCTATGTAGACACAGATGCTGCATGCAATACAAATGCAAATAGAGATGATTTTATTTCCTTCTTTCCAATACTTTTAACTTATTACTTAGTTGGGTGCCAGGCCAATGTTATATCAATTAATATAGTGAATTATATTGATACATTTTCTACTATTGGACAATCTTTGCATTCTTGGAAAAAAGTACCATCTATATTTTATCATTTTTGAAATGTTCTTTCCTGTTGGCTTTTGTTTCTAATTTCTGTTTGGGATTTACATCTATATCTACAAATGGATTTGTCTGTAGTTTTTTTTTTTTTTTTTGGTACAGCTGCTGTTAAGTTTTTACTATCAATTTATGTTTGCTTTATACAAATAAAGCAATTTTATTTTCCTCTTTTCCATGCTCTAAAACAGTGTCCAAAAAATTCCAACAACATTGCATTTAAGGATTTTAGCCTTCACCACAGCCCATGTGGTTGTTACTTTCTTTCTTCCCATTTCCAGATGTGGAGGCTGAGATAAAGAGAAGTAACATGCTGCAGTCCCTGCATCTGGGATAGGTGATTTATGTCCCCATGTTCAGGCGGTTGAATGTCCAAACCGTCCAGGACAGATAGCACTGTTCATACAGCCAGGATCCAAACCCAGATCTGTCTGATACAGAACCTTGCTCATAATCCCTGTGCTGTTCTCCTCCCTTCTCCTTGGTATCTTTGGGTCCCTCATGTCTCCTCTTTTCCATACTTGCGTTACTTGGCTAGATAAATCCCTAACTTCATTTGCCCAAGAGGATCTTCTCTTATTGGAACTCAAATTAATTTTGACTTTTATGAGTTTACTTTTTAAATTATATTTTCCTTTTGTCATTATTAGCTCCTTTGCTAATCTTACCTTTTTTCTTTGAGTCATTTGTATTATTTGCTAACATTTTGATTAACAAAATTTGCATTTGCTATTTTATGTCTTCCTTTTCATATTTTATCCAAACCCTTAGAAAATCTTAATTCATCACAGAGCTCCTTTGGTAGCTTCACTGGTCTTTGAAGGTATCTTATTCGTTTCCTTGAGAAAGAGTTGTGATTGTGCAGTTGAGGTATATCTTTAGGTACTTTCTAGCATCAATGAGTCATCTTTTATTTTAAAATCAAGCACTGTATAATCCCGGCATTTGAAATCCATCTTCAGTCATGTAGACTGTGTACCTAATGATGACTAACTTTTCACATACTGGCTAAAGAATGGCATCATTATGTTGATAACTCTAAAGGAATCCTTCTTTTACAATACCCTGGTTGTTTTATCTTGTTAGTCAGAATTATGTTCAATAGAAAAAAATTAGCCAGGTGTGGTGGCACACACCTATAGTCCCAGCTACTTGGGAGGCTGAGGCAGGAGGATCACTTGAGCCCTGGAATTTGAGGTTGCAATGAGCTATGATGACACCACTGCACTTCAGCTGTGGTGACAGAGTGAGACTCTGTCTCAAAAAAAAAAAAATGATGTTCAAGAGAGGTGTGTATGTTAATTCCTTCCTTTGAATCTTAAGAGGATTAAGTAATTAGTAGGCTGAACCAAGAATTGCTCAGATATACTTCTTTTAGCTGAATAAAGCTTGCAAACATTGTCTTGTTAGCTGGTGTCTCTTGTTATTGCATTGTATTGGCTGTTAACAAAAAACACATCATTTATTCTCTTCATTTGCCTGTGTGACAGCTTGAAAGATTGCTAATAACTATAGTGTAAAACACTTACTCTATGCTACAGTGTTAACTGTCATTCTTATAACAATTTTACAGAAGAGATATCTTAGTCTCAGAGAGATTAAGAAACTTTCCCGAAGTCACACAGCTAGGATGTAGTATAGACAGAATTTGAACCCAGGTCTCTTTGATTCCAAGTATGTGCTCTTCAAGCACTATATTAAATTGTTTTCCATAGCTGTGTGGTCTTGGAAAGTTAGCCTCTGTATTAATTGTAAGATGGAAATAATACTTCTCTCTGCTTCCCTAATAGTTATTAGGGAAATGATATATAATATAATATAATGAATATAATAATGAAAACAAAAGCACTGGGTAAACTGTAGGATGTTATTATTTTACTTTAAAAATTTATACTATGTTCTTGAGACTAGTGGTATAATTTTCCATAATAGGTAACTTTTCTGAAGCCATAGAGCATGAGCTGATGGAGTCTGTAGCTGAGTCCTGGGTGATCTTGTCATCTCAGTGTTTGCTGTCCATTTTAGCAGCAGCAGTGGTGCACATGACCTCGAGTGAGGATGATGTTATTCTCAGCCATTCTCAACTTGGAGAGTCCTCAGTTCCATCTCCATGACTATACATTTTTTTCTAGGGAGTTGTTAAAATCTCAGTGGAGTTTGGGATACTTTTGAACATTTTTTTTTCCCAAGTGTTGAAACAAAAGCATACCCTGAGGTGGAAGAGAATTCACATGCTTTCATTAATCATCGGGATTTCATCTCACTAGATTTTTAGTCTTGCAGAGTTCTAAGTCACTAAGGCAATATCCATCTTAAGCCTTGAAAAATTGCACAAAGAAACTCCAAGGCTTTAGCAAGTAGCTCTGGATCGAATAGTTGCACCTCCTCCAGTGCAGCAGCTGTTCCCTAAATTTCCATCCATTTCTCATTGCCAACAGTTGCTCTGCATGATCATACCAACACGTGTACTTTGTGAAGCTGTGTTCAGCAGCATCAAATAAACAGATATTAACATTTTTTCCCCCTCTTGGCTCTCCAGTTTCTGGGCTATTCATAAAAATTAAAAGAGTTTCCCATACATTTTGTGGATTCTGTAACATTTGGTTTGTAAGGGTCTTTATCCTTCTTGATGCTGCCTCCACCCCCCACTTTTTTTAATGGGTGGGGTTTGAACCCAGGGTCTCATACATGCAAAGCATGTGCTCTACCACTGACCTACATCCCCACCCTCATTTTGTGGATTCTGAAGTTCAGGAATTTTCTTGGCTTCTTAGTGGACTCATGATATTAGTATCTCAATATGTACATACCTAGGTGTGGGAAAAGGTTTAAAACATCTTTTTTCCACTGGTGTTGACTTTGCTCAATGTTTAGCCACTGAAGGTTTTGATAAGCAGAAACCAAATAAAACCAAAAGTGCTTAGACTTTACAGTACAGTGTAAAATAGTGTTTTTCTTGATTTGCTGTCAAAAAAATCAATTTTAATCAAAGATTAATTTAAAAGTCTTTAGAGGCTGGTGAGCCCATTACTGCAGGACAGTATAGCAGAGGGATTCTAGCATGGCGGTTAAGGAAGTGGACTCAGGCCAGACTATCTGGCTTCAAACTCAAACTCGAATATCTTTCAGCCTTAAGAAAAATCAGTTTACCTCCTTCTTCTCCAGTTTCCTGCTCTGTAAAACGAAGTTGATGATAATACCTATCTTATAATAGTGTGAAGATTCAGTGAGTTTATCATCGCTATTTAGTGCTATATGCTTAACGACAATTAAAAGTAAGCACGTTCAATTTTTCTTACTCCTTGTGTATCCACTGTGAAAGTTTCATTGGATAAACTATAGACAATGCCAAGGTAGAATTCTCAAGTTGTCAAAAGTGTAATTTTCATAAAAATAGGTAGTGAATATGGTTAAAAATTTTATTTAGCTCATTCATGAAGAAACCAGGAAAAAGACAAAGCAAGATTCCTAAGAAGAAATGAGACTCTGGATGGATTTTGATAAAAGGAAAAGCTGAAATGAGATGGCTCAGTTAGATACCTTATAGGGCAATTCAAAATAGACATTTGGAATTTGTTTTCTATCAGACAGAAAATAAAATCACTACACCTTTTCAGTTTTGCCAAAATCATCATCTAACCTTACAAGTGTTGTAAAACACCTGGGTCATAGTTAATAGTAAATAGCAAGTCAAACAATAGTGCCTTCTCCTAGTTGGATAACACTTAGGCCAGCCTGTTAGACTGTGCTCTAAGCGAGGCCTTAAGAACACTTTCGTCTGTTTACGTTATTTCCAGGATCAGGATAATTTTCCTTAGTAAGAGTGAAATGGGAAAATATTTTGGGAATGTCATTTCCACAACTCTATAAAACCACCTGCAGAAGCATTTGCACTGCTCTTGCTAAAGGCTTAGCACAGGATCAGCCCTCTTTTCAGCAAGGGGTAAAGGTGAACATGAACAAAACTTGAACGTAGAATTTATGCAGCATTATTCGTATTGACAAAAGTTCACTTGCTATTTGAAATGCCAAATGTCTTTTACGCTGATGCTGATATACGTGTGCTTTATTTTAAAGCCACTGAATTATGAAGAAAACCATCAAGTGAACCTGGAAATTGGAGTAAGCAATGAAGTTCCATTGACTAGAGACGTACCCAGAGTGACAGCCATGAACAGAGCCTTGGTTACAGTCCACGTGAAAGATGTGGACGAGGGGCCTGAATGCAGCCCTCCGGCCCAATATGTGCAGATTAAAGAAAACTTAGCAGCGGGGTCAAATATCAAAGGCTATAAGGCATATGACCCTGAAACTAAAAGTAGCAGTGGTTTAAGGTACAAAGAAATCTATAACCACATACTAATAATGTATTTGTAACAATTGAGATAGTGACTTATTTTAAAACATTGTATAATGCTAATGACTATTTTTATTTTTCATTAACAGGTATAAAATATTGCATGATCCTAAAGGGTGGATTGCCATTGATGAAACTTCAGGGTCAATCACAACTTCCAAAATCCTGGACAGGGAGGCCATATCTCCCAAGCATGGTTTATATAATATTACAGTTATGGCAATAGACCAAGGTAAAAAAAACAAAAAAGTTTTAATCTGGTATTTTATAAAGGACTTGGTGAATAAAATGCAGAATTATTCTTATGCAAAATTATTCTTGTGATAAGTATATGGAATTCTTTGAAATGACTTTAAAAACTCTGTTTCTGTCTCTCTTAATTGTCTAAAAAAGGTGAAGCTGCTTGGTGACAATAAGCCATGTTTTATTTATGTTTTATATTCCCAGCATGGCAGCACCTTAAATGCCTGTCTGTCTCTGTGTTAGGGGACAAATCTAGAACTAGATAAAATGGTCTCGTTAGATTCCTCCACATCTCTTTGTGCCAGTTTAAATTGAACCTTTAAATAGTTCAGCTCATTATTAGGTCAAAATGATCTTTTCCTTGAATTCTGTTCCTGAAAGTAACTTAGAATTTCTCAACCTCAGCTTCATATTAAAATAAAACTATCAATCTACAGGCATCACCTTAGACTAAATGATTCAGAATCTCTGGTTGTGGAGCCTGGGCATCATATATTTTAAAAAACATCTTTTTAAGTGGTTTGAATGTGTACCAGGATTAGAATAACTTTTACATAGTGACTTTACTGGTTACTAACATCTGCACCAGGAACCCAAGGAAATAGAGTTTGAAATTCAGACATTTATTTTTATTATTTGGTAGTCATTCTGGTGAAACGTAGATTGGCAATTGTATCTGATAGTATGGACAGCAGTAATCATTTTCGATTATCTGATTTCATTTATCCATGTATATTTTTATTTATTTACTATTTCCTCTAATAATCAAAGTTTATTAAAAAATACATATCACATATAGAATGGAATTGACTTTCTTTAAGAAAGTGTGAAATAATTTAAAAATAACACTTAAGCTTATCAATATCTTCTTAGATGGTAGATCATGTACTGGAACATTGGCTGTGAACATTGAAGATGTGAATGATAATGCACCAGAAATACTTCAACATTATCTAACAATCTGCAAACCAAAGATGGGGTATACCGACATTTCAGCTGTTGATCCTGATGAACCTGTCCATGGAGCGCCATTTTATTTCAGTTTGTCAAGCCCCTCTCCAGAAATCAATAGAATCTGGAGCCTCACCAAAATTAATGGTATTTAACAAAAAACAATGATTTATATACTCTGAAATAGCCTAGAATAACTAGAGAATGGATTTACTTGTTTACTCACACAAAGTATAAAGTAAAATTGATTCTCATTAATATATTTTAGAAGGTTAAATTAACCTTCTTACAAATATTTTATTGAGGCGGTGTTATAGATTATGTATAAAATGAAGGAAATCATAATTTTTATGAAGGCAAAATTTACATATACAACGAAGACAAAAAAGTTTTGTTACAATATTGGGCAGTTTTATACTTTTTTTGTTGTGTTTTTAAAGTAATACCAGTGAGGTGAGGAGAGACCAGAAGATGTGCAGTATAAATTGCATTGTAAGTTGACTTTGGAAGTGAGGGATCTGGGTGCATGGGACAAACCCTCTATGAAGTTTCTGGAAGTGAAGTTGGTGGGCTATGGGAAGGGATCTGGCATTGGAGCTTTCAGGGACTGCCTCCTACTATAGCAATTTCTGGGGGACATGGTATTTTATCTTTCATTTACACTCCACTCTGTTGTTTTGTTACCATGTCAAGCTCTTCATGCAACTGGACTTTTGTGTGTACTGCTCCTTCTACTTAGAATATCTTTTTTTCCCCATTTCTCAGCTTGATATCAATTAATAATATTTATGAGCACCTCCTGGGCCCTGTTCCAGATCCTGAGGATTTACATAGGGATGAACAAAATAGACACAACCCTAGCTAAGATGCCCAACTTCTGAAGTTTTTCTTGAAGTGGAAGGAGTGGCATTTTGCCCTTTTGCTACCTGTGTCATAGCACCTTTCGTGTTGTATTATCATCTCATTACCTCTCTCCTCCAATACATGAGTTTCTCAGAATATTTTTATAGTCTATATATTTTCTTATAGTCTTTATATTTCCAGCACCTTGCCTTAGTGCTTATTAGATACTAACTACTTAATAAATGTTTATCTAATCAATAATTGACTAATAATATGCATATAAGAAGAAGAAACATATGAGGGGAATCAGTATATCAGTGTCATTAGAATTTCAAAGGTTTTAGTAAGAATGCCAAGAGTTTGGGTGGGAGGAAAGGTGGAATCTGGTGGTGAAATGTCCCAGGCTGGGGAGAGTGGCCTTTGCACAGTAGGTGACAGTAGCTCTGCATGGGGGATGTGCAAGTAAGGCAGTGCCATTCCCAGATCTACGTCTTTTAAAAGTCACATTGGTGACAATCAGGAGGACAATTTAAAGAGAGCAGAATTGAGTGAAGGAAGATCAGAGGCTGATAACGAAGACCTGACTATGGGTTCGACTGTGGTCTTGAGGGAGGAGAGGGACCTGAAGGATCTTACCTGAGACATAATGTGGTCTTGAAGGGTCCTAAATAAACCCAAGTCATAATTCATATTCCTCTGAGGAGCTTTCAGGTATCAGGTGCAGCCAAAATCTTTGAAGTTCTTACAGCTACACCAGTGCAGTTAATCAAGGCTTAGAAATTCCAGATGACTTCCAGGATGTACATTGTGCCACTTTGTCATTTTACATAGTCTATCATAAAAACTTATGGATGTTGTAATTGTCATTGAAAGTCTGTGGAGCTTCTTGTCAGTTGATAAGAGGGTCGTTAAAGTAAGGTATCAAGACTACTGGGGGAAATTGACTATCACAGTTATGATATAGAAGATGTACCTGGTTTTTGTGTAAGCCCTATAACTAGCCTGAGTGACATTAATTAGCTTTGTAGTATTGAGTTTACTTCTAGATGCAAAGCATTAATCATAAAAAAAATCTATTGTGCTTTGGAAAAATACCTTATCTGTAAGAATAATGGATAGATACTAGAAGGTCAATGGATAAGAGAATGTGAACTTCCAGCAGCCTTTTTGCGTACCCGAAGATGCTAATTCTTTATGAGTTTATAAACTGGTACTAAAGAAAAATGTTTTAACTGTATATTAAGAGCCAATCTATGATTATTAGTTTGTATAGAATAAAAACTATTAAAAATATTGCCGAATACTACCAGGTCATTCCAATGCCAAATTATTTCTTTAGGGCTCTCTTCTAAAGAGTTACAAGGGGCAACACATAAAAGGTAATTATCAGTGCTTGAAAAGGTTGGACCTAGTCCTCCATTTCTCTTAATTTTCATGTGACAGGCAGTTCCTTGAGAGTGGTGCCAGTGTGGTGAAACAGATGTTGAGGGAGGAATAAATGATCACTAACAAATAACATTTTTAAATTTTCTTTCAGATACAGCTGCTCGTCTTTCATATCAGAAAAATGCTCAATTTCAAGAATATACTATTCCTGTTACTGTAAAAGATAGAGCAGGTCAATCTGCCACGAAGATCTTGAGAGTTAATCTGTGTGACTGCACACATCCAAGTCAGTGTCGCTCGACTTCCAGGAGTGCAGGAGTCGTACTTGGAAAGTGGGCAATCCTTGCAATACTACTGGGAATAGCACTGCTATTTTGTGAGTACTTTCGCTTACTTGAAGTCAAAATGTGTAATAAAATATCTGGGTGCAGGAAAGGGTCTTTGCAAAAGAAACCGGTCCAAGCATCCACAGATGTGAGTCCCTTTATAAGCTCCTTTTGTGTTATTAATATTATATGAATTCTGTTTGAATATTTTCTGTGGAAGGGAACATGATCTTTCTTGTGGTACAAGATTTTATACTTGGGCAGGATTGTTGAAAATTCCTTAGATTGTACTGAATCTGTCAAATAAATAGGTTTGATTTCTTGGACCCAGTGCCATCCCTTTTAGGGCTAAATAGAACAATCTAAAACTTTTGCTATATGAAAGTCCACTAAAAGCCACATCCATTTCATGTCTTCTCACCGTCTGGTCACAGGCCTATGGGAAATGTTCACTTCATAGCACCATCTCTTCTTGGATATATCTTGCCAATTTTAAATTCTGTGACCCTCCTTCTTACTAGTTGTGTTGTTCCCAAGTGATGCCATATTTTTTTCTCTTCAGCCCTCCAGCCTAGATTAGCTTTGTTTTGTGATAGGAGTAGAACTTACGAGCAAGACTCAGGAACCAGACTGCCTGGGTGTGTATCTCAGCTTCATCACTTGCAAGCCAGGGGACTTGGGGCAAGTTACTTAACTGTGCTTCAGTTTCCTCACCTGTAAAAGGGGATAATTGTATTAAGAGTAGCCTACTGTATGGTGTAGTGCTGAGGATTGAGTTAATGCATGTGAACTGCTTAGAACAGTGCGTGGCAAATTTCTAATGTGTTCGTTATTTTTCATCAGCTCAACAAAATAAACATATATCGAACACTTACTGTAGGCCAGAAACTGTTCCAGGTGCTTGGAATTCAAGAGTGAACAAAATAAACATAATTTTTTAAACAAAAAAACAAAAATAAGCAATCTTCCTGTGGTAGTGAGTAAATAAATTCAATGTTATGGAGGAGAAAAATAAAGCAAAATAATTAGGATCTGTAGTGCTGTGGAGTGTGTGTTAGAGCAGCAGTCCCCAACCTTTTTGGCACGAGGGACTGGTTTCATGGAAGATAATTTTTCCGCTGAGGGGGGCGGAGCTCAGGCGGTGATGCCAGCGATGGGGAGTGGCTGTAAATACAGATGAAACTTTCCTTGCTCGCCCACCACTCACTTCCTGCTGTGTAGCCCCGGTTTCATGAAAAAAAATTTTTCCACTGGGGGTGGGTTGTGTGAGGGGTGGCAGGGGTAGGGTGGAAGGAAGGAGGGGAAGGGTGGAGTTGCAAGGAGGTGGGTGGGGCAGGTCAAGGAGGACGGGTTGGGGGAGTTGCAAGGGAGGGCGGGTGGGAGATGCAAGAGGGGGTGGGGATTGCAAGGGAGGCAGGGTGGGGGAGTTCAAGGAGGGTGAGGTGGGAGTTGCAAGGAGGCGGGTGGGGGTTGCACTGGAGGGGTGGTTGGGGAGTTCAAGAGAGGGGTGGGTGGGAGAGTTGCCAGGGAGGGGCGGGGTTGGGGGGGGAGTGGATCTCTGCAGCCCGGTCCCTAACAGGCCACGGATGGGTACCAGTCCACCACCCAGGGGTTGGGAACTGCAGTGTTTTAAGAGTATTGGTGCCAGTCAATAGATAATTGACCTGAGAACGTTATCTTTGAGGATTTGGGAAAGAGGTGAGTCAGGCATATGGAATACCTGGGGGAAGAGCCAGCTTTCAGTCAGAGAGGGAAGTTAATGCAAAGGCCCTAATTTGGCGGGATTATGTCTGGAGAAATCAAGGAATGGCAAGAAGGTTAGTATGGCTAGAGAGTAGTGGGTGAGGGGAAGAGGATTAGGAAATGGAACCAGAAAGGTAGCAGCTGGCCATATAGAGTAAGCAAGGGTTGGCACTTTTTCTGTAAAGGACCAGATGGTGCCTAGTTTAAGCTTTGAAAGCCACGTGTTTTTCATTGTAATTTATCAAATTTGTTTTTGAAATAAGAAAGCAGTAGTAGAGATTATGTAAATGTTGGGCATGGTACAGATGTATTCCAATAGAACTTTATATATTGACACAAAAATTTGAATTTCATATAATTTTCTCATGTCATGAAATGTTATTTTTCTTTTGATTTTTTTCAACCACTTAAAATACAGTCTTAGCTCATGAGCCATATAAAAATATGTATCAGGCTAGATTTGGGGGTGTAGTTTGCCAATCGATGATGTAGGGTCTTTTAGATCATTGGGAAGAATTGTTATTACTGTTAGTTTAATTATCGTATATTTTCTATCTCCCACAATTATGATGGAAATAAAAATTCTGAAAAGGTAAGATACAAAGCAGGTTCAATTGAGGCACTTGGAGATTAGTCTAGGAAAAAAAGTCTGTTTTTTCATGTTTTCGTATAGGCAAATCATTCTTTTGGGAATCAGTAAAACTTTTCAAAGTCTTTGTCTTAAATAAATGTCAATGATTTTATTTTTGTATTACTTAACTCATGATTCTAAGTACTTTTCCATGATGGGAAGAATTCAAACTCTCGATTAGAGAGAGAGATAATAAAAAAATATGATTGCTTCACATTGTAAAATCTAAACAAAATTGTGGCCTGTTAATTTAGAAAGGCCAAGATAATTCATAGGAAACTGGTTGGTGGCTTCATTTTCTTCTTGTAGACCTGTAGGATGTAAGAAATAAGGGATGATTATTTTGTCCTATGGATGATTAATTATTTTTTTTCTTTTACTCAGCTGTATTGCTAACTTTAGTGTGTGGAGTTATTGGTACAAAAAAAGGCAAGCGTTTTCCCGAAGATTTAGCACAGCAAAACTTAATTATCTCAAACACAGAAGCACCTGGGGATGATAGAGTGGTAAGTAGTTTTTTAATGAATATTTATCTGTATCTTCCATAATTTCTTTAACTTATCCTCATGAACTTATTTCAAGATTTAGGAGTTAATTTATATTTTTAATTGGGTCAAATTTTGTAGGAATAAATATTCTGTCAATACTCAATGGTTTATGTATTGGTAATTTCTTAAACTTCTTAACCCAGATGTATTGTTTTAGTTATCTTTTTTCCACTCTCTAATGTTGTGACTTAAAACTTGTTATTTGTTTTTGTGACTTTATTATAACAATAATTATTTTGGCTGCCCTCTACAAAATGTATTTCCAGATAGTATTTGTTTATCTAACTCTTTGACCATTTTATGATAGAAAAAAAACCTTTCTAAAATCTCTCAAGATAACTAGGAAAATATCAAAGAGATATATGTAAAAACAATGAGGGAGGGGCTTGGAAGATTTCTGCTACTCTTATATATTTTGGGGGGACTTCTGAGGTACTTGGTTCTATGCTTCTTATTTTGTGAAAAATACATATAAGAAAAGTGCTTACAAGGCATGTTCTCTCCTCAAAAAGGTTTATATTCATTTATGAGAAATAGAATCTACTTTTATGGAAAAGAGAAACAGGAACATGACAATAAACCAACATGATAAAGCACTGTCAGAGTTTGGAGATAGTTAGCATACACAAGCATAGTCATGGAGTTCAGAGGAAGGCCTGGGGAAAGAGGCACCAATCACTTCTGGAACTTAAAGGATAAAGGAGAGTTTGAAAGTGAAGAGATGGTGGGAATTAACGAGGAAGAAAACAGCCTAACGAATAAGAAAGGAGATGATAAAGTTTAGGGATTATCTAACAAATAATAAATAAATTGGTTAAGAATAGAAGGAATCATGGGTTGGAATAAAAGCTTGAAATTTATGTCAGGCATTAGGGGAGAGGATATAAGAGGGACGTGGGAGAAGGGACCTTCCTACGCTGCACTGAAGATGTTGGATTTATTTTCTTGGTAAGGGAGAGCCAGGCAAGGTTTTTCTGCGAGAGAGTGGTCTAATGCAAGCAGGGTGACGCTGAGTCAATAGGGGGGTCAATAAGAATAGGAAGATGTTAGGGTCGGGGAAGATGAAGACTTAGGACCTTTTGAGAGTTGGAGCATGAGATAATTCTACCAGGAGGATGGTAATTGTATTATTGAGATAGGGATGAATAAGGAATATTTTAAAGATATAAACGACAAGGTTGTTGACTGAATGAACTCAAGGAACAATGTAAAAGGCCTAGTTGCGGCGGCAGAGGATCTAACCAGGGATAATGACTATATATTAGTCCTTTTCTGTTTCTCAGGGTGAAGATGACTTTCTTATTCCCTATTTCCCTCTTTCAACTCTTCCCCACCATCATGCAAAATCATAGTCTGTCTCTGCTTGACATGTCTGCATGTGGAACCCTGTGATTGTCTCTTTAGTCAGAAAATAGGTTTATTCCCTTGGTAGTCCGTGATTCATAGTAAGTTCTTACTTTATGCATAAAAATGGAAAGAATGACTTTACTTGTTCTTTGCCATTTTGTGTTAGAGCTGATGGTATCGATTGGCCATTTTACCATGTTCACCTCTTCTCTGTTAGGAATATTTCTAAAAAGGGCCTGGCATTATGAATTTATATAAGAAGATGATATTAGGCAACTTTTCCTAAACTATAACAAAATTTCAAAGTGAATATATAAACTCACTTTAATGAGTGAAGGTGGTGATTTTAGTTTTAGGTGTGAGTTTCAGTTGAAGGCATTCAGATGGGGTTTTGAGTTGGGTGAAAAATTTGGAAAAGTAAGTCTGGAAATTACTGACATGGATAAGGAGTTGTTGATACTCAGCAAGACTATCCTTTGGGGAATGCAGGAAATGGATGTAGGCAGGAGAGAACAGAGAACAGAGTATGAAAGCTAGTTCTGTGGCCTTGGCATCAGTTTTGGTTTATTTTCAATTCCCCTTTCATTAGCTTAGAAATATTATCTCTGAAAATGTATTCATTATGACAAAATTATACTGTGAAGTAGATTTAATAATCAGGATTTTTTAAATAGAATTTTACTGTATCAGCAACCTAAGTAAAAATATAGGGTAGCACTGCCACCACATGGCTACTTTTCAATTCTCTTTTCTGGTATTATTTTCTAAGGCAATGAGATAGTATGTATGACTTTGGTAGATGTATTTCAGGTTCAGGAAATCATCTGAACTTGAAAAATTTTCCACTTTAGTTAGAGATTCTGCATTTTCAATAGAAAAAATTTAAATTGATAAGAAGATGGCACAATGGAACCTGAATATAATGGATGTTCTTGTCATGAAAATAACATAATGATTTATAATGAAAACCGACATGCTGAGATCACTGCTATATCTGTCCTATGGCTCAGAGGGTTGGACTGAAGCTCCAATATTAAGTTTTATTTAATAAAGTCCTTTTTATTTTCAAGCATTTCCTTGACTCTTTGTCACCCTCTAGTCCCCTCTATATCTCTCTTTTTCTTTGTAACTGAACTTTTTGAAAGAACAATTTATCCTTGATTTTTCTATAACATTACTTCCTGTTCACTCAGGACTCCTTGGAAATTGTTTTGACAAAGACCACCAGTGGCCACTCCAACAGGCTTGGATCCAATAGGCTCTTACATTATTCGAACCTATTTTTATCTTGTTGTGATTTTTTTTTTAACATTATTGACCACTGTCTCCTCACTGTGTTCTCTCTGCATGACTTCAGTCCTGCCTCTTTGGTCCCTCTGTTATCTCAGTGTCTGTTCAGATCATTTCTGTCACAGCTGTATATTTCTGTTATGTGCCCCTCAAAACATGATTTTTTCTTGTGTTTTTTTTTCTTTTTGTTCACAGTTTTTTTCTGGATATCTTATCTGTTCCCGTGGCTTCAACTATCACCTATTTGGTTGTGACTCTGCTCTCTCACTTGAGCTCCAAATGCACATATTCATATATTCATCTGGGACATCCTACGCGTTTCTCAAGTGCATCACATTCAAAATTAAATTGCTCACCCTTCTCTTGTACACAAACACATCTTTCTTCCCTATTTTAGTGATTTGCACTGTCTATCTAGTTGCCCAAGTAAAGCACAAAATAATAATTCCTGACTCTGTCTTTTGCTGCCTCATTCCTCTGGCCTCTAGTAGACTCTCTATGGAGCCCCTTTACTTCTTTCAATCATCACTGCTTCTACCTTGGCTTAGGTCCTTATCATTTCTTACCTGGAATAATTCAGCGACCTCATCTGATCTCCATGACACTAAATTTGTCTTCCACATTACTGCCTAGAATGACATTTTGAAAATGTGTTCCTGTCTGAAATAAGTTAAAATACTTTATGGTCCTCATAATTTTCATGATAAAGTCTCCATTTTTTTGCATGGTATATATTGATCTTTATATCCTCTGATCTTTTATAACCTCTCCAGCCTCTTCTCTCTCTCACCTCTATGATAGCTATTCTCAACTGATTAAAGATGAGGACCTCGAAGTGCCCTGCTTGCCTTTGCCTCCACATCTTCCTGCAGGCATTGCATTCTTCCTCCCTCTTGTCCTGGTCTTCAGTCCCTCAGCTCAGGGTTGGCCCAGCCTACTCCACTTACCCTCTCAGGGTTTGAATTTTAATGCTCTACCCCTGTGCTCTGGTAGCATTCTGTGCTCACCTATATAGTAATCTCTTTCTTAAGATAATTATCTATTTTTCTGCCTCATTGGAGTAACCGATTCTTGGAGCCACAGAGGGACCATGCCTATCTTTGTATCCCTGTGCTTTTGCATCTGCTATGGTTTGAATGTGCTCCCCAAAGCTTATGTGCTGGAAACTTAATCCCCAATGCAACAGAGTTGAGAGGTGGGATTTTAAAGACGTGCTTAGGTCATGAGGGCTCTGCTCTCATGAATGGATTATTGTGGGAGTGGTTTCATTATTGTAAGAGTTTGTTATAAAAGTGAGTTTGGCCACCTCTTGCTCCTCTCTATTTTTCTCTCTCTCTCTTGCTCTTGCTGTCACTCTCTTCTCTCTTGCCCTCCTACCTTCTGTCATGGGATGACACAGCATGGGCCCTTGCCACATGTGGGCCCCTCAGTTGTGGGCTTCCAGTTTCTAAAACTGTAAAAGAAATAAATCTATGTTTTTTATAAATTACTCAGCCTCAAGGATACTGTGATAACAGCACAAAATGAACTAAGACGGCATCTGGGCACATAATTTGATAAAAGTCTGTTGAATGCAAGAAAGAATGAATGAATGAATAAACTGTTGAATAAACATTCTCTTTCCTTTGCTTTCTTGTAGCTACTTGGCATTCATTTCCTCTCAACATGAATGGTTTTATTTTTTATTTTATTTTACCTTTTATTATTTTATTTTTTCAGTGTTCTGCCAATGGATTCACGACCCAGACCGCCAACAACTGTAGTCAAGGTTTTTGTGGTACTATGGGATCAGGAAGCAGAAATGGAGGGCAGGAGACCATAGAAATGGTGAAAGGAGGACACCAGACCTTGGAATCCTGCCGGGGAGCTGGCCACCATCACACCCTGGACTCCTGCAGGGGAGGACACACGGAGATGGACAACTGCAGATACAATTACTCGGAGTGGCACAGTTTCACTCAGCCCCATCTCTGTGAGGTGAGTTTCCTTAGGTGTTTTGATCTAAAGTTTCAATATCCAAGTGCAGAACAATAGGAAATTGAAATTAGCATATATTTTCAGAAAGTGCTTTTCTAGATTTTTCGATATTCCCTCTTTTGCTTGCTCTGTTTATTTTTCTGTGCTCTTTGATTTTGTTATGTTATGTAATTTAAAAGAGATTTTATTTCATCTGTCATATTTCACTTAATTTCTAAAATCCCATAAAAATTGGAGGTTTCTAATGTCTTTCACTAAAGTTTGATTTTTAGATGTGCCTTTACCTCCTAAATATAGAAGAATATGATATAAAAGAATGTGAAAAAAATTGTCACAAACTTTCCAAAATCAAATCTGTATTTCTCTGTGAAAACACAAACATCTGTATATAGCTTTAGAAATTCCATATAACATATAATAATTTTTTTGTTTTATTGTAAATTGATATATATAAATGAGGTACAAAACAATGTTATGTACAAAAAAATATGTATACAATGTAGAATGAGTAAGTCAAGCTTATTAACATACCTATCACCTCAAATACTTATTTTTTGTGATGAGAACATTTGAAATTTATTCTCTTACCAATTTTGAAATGTACAATATATTATTATTAACTGTAGCCACCATTTTATGAAATATTTTTAATATATAAAGCACCAGACAAATATAAAGTGTTTTGATTCAATAGAAAGCAAGAATGTGAAAGAAAGGAGGGATTAAATAAAGAGTTCTCAGCCCACATCAAAATGCCCTGGAAGTTTTTAAAAAATACGAATGCCTTGACTCCACCCTGAAAGATTCTAATTTACTTGGTTTGGCTTTTTTTTTTTTCTTTTTAAAAATTTCTCCGGTGATTCAAATGTGTGGCTAGGTTAGAGAGCCACTGGATTAGATATTTTTCTGTTTCTAAGTTTTCACCTCTTTTATCAGAGGATCCCAGTGCCACTGTTGCAGAAACACTGGGCCAGAAGCCCTTCATGTTTGCGTGGACTACAGATGGGCAATAGGCTGTGATAGGGCTGTAGGTTATCACATAGCCATAGCATTTTTTTTTTTTTTTGGTCAAATTAAGATGTTAATCCTTTTTCTATTTTTAAATAATCAGTATTCATGTAAGAGCAGATTGAGGTGGAGAGAAGCTTAAGTCACACTCTTAGGAATGTCCTTCAGTGTGCACATCAGGTGATGGGAGGTAAAGCTGTCAAGGTCATGAAGAAAGACACTTGGTAACTTAAGCTGTGCAAATGAGCTCCAGTGTAGCTAGAGAACACTCAGGTGAGGACACTCAGGTGAGGCAAGGGAGGTGGCACAGAAGTTTGACAAGTTGGCAGACAGGCCAGTGGCAGACAGGGTAGATGTGGGCAAATGCTTGGCCTCTTCATTACAAAAGCCCAGTTTTTGCAGGGTGGGTTATGTTGATTACTCTAAAGTTCACTAAATTATTTTGTGCGTCTCAATATTTTGCCATATTTTGGCTATCTTGGAAACTTGATTCCAAAGCTAATGTGGTAATTTTTACCTACTTTCTAACTACATATAATAGCAATTTAAGTTACCATTTATTGTACATTTAATATGTGCTGGACATAATAAGCACATTTTATGAATTATTATGTCATCATTAATTTCCACAATAATCCTGTGAGATGGTCACTGTCTGCATTCCCATTTTAGATTTGAGAAGAGTGAGATTTAAAGATGTTTAGTAACTTGCACAAAGTCATATAGCTAGTTGGAAAAGCCAGAGCCTTGCTTGACTCAAAACCAGGACTGTTGGATATCCAATCTCAAATTCCTAAACACTATGCCTTTTGTCTATGTTTTACAGTCTAGCCTGATTTCCTAGATATAAAATTTAGAAATAGACATTTAATAATAACTTGAATGTACTTAAAGATAACATTTGTTTAGATGATTTTTTATTTATATGGATTACTAGAAATGTAAAATATACTGACTTTATGATATGATTGTGATAGAGACCAATCATGTGCATTTTTTGTGTGTAGGAATCCATTAGAGGACACACTGGTTAAAAATTAAACATAAAAGGTAAATAAAAAAATACATTTTATGTTCATATGTTTAAGTTGTTTAAAACAATAATTCAATTCATTTTTTTAAAATTTTACAGAAATTACATCAGTGCAGTCAGAATGAAAACCATGTGCCATCTCAAGATTATGTCCTTACATATAACTATGAAGGAAGAGGATCCCCAGCTGGTTCTGTAGGCTGCTGCAGTGAAAAACAGGAAGAAGATGGCCTTGAGTTTTTAAATAATTTGGAACCCAAATTTATGACATTAGCAGAAGCCTGCACCAAGAGATAATATCAGAGTGCTACTATTAAGTCTTTCCCAGACATTCTGGTGGTTTCCCAAAATAATATTGTAAAGTTAAATTACAACATATATATATATACATATATATTACAACATATATATATATGTGCGATATATGTATATATATATACATATATATAATGAATATTTTGTAAACTCTGAATTATGCTACTCACTAATTTGTAATTTTAAAGCTTAATTTGTTGCTTATCTTGTTCAAGAAGTACAAAATATTAACATAGACAGTCTCATACCACAGCATTGGAATTAAGGTCTATAAAGGATCTGCTGTTCTTTACAGATATTTTCTGAATAAATGTGTTGGGCAAATACTAGTCCAACAATAGCTAAGCTATGCTACTATCACGTTATTATATACTCACTTCAAGTGATAGTTTAAAAAATAGACAAGAAATAATAAGTATCACTGTTAGAAGAAAGTTTTGGGAGAGAAACAAGACTAAATTAAACTAAAAAGATTGCAGCTCATGAAAAATTGGTATCAGCCCTCTCCCCCTACCCCACTCCCAAATTCTTCATTTGACTTAAGAGGCAAAATTTATTGCTCAAGCCCTGGAGTGGCAATTTTCTGTAGGAATATAGTTTGAAATTAATATGTTTATGTATAAAATTATTGATTGATGCAACATTTAAAATGAAAAAAAGAGAAAAATGGTAATAACTTAAAATGAGGCTGGGGTATAGCTTGTTCTAAAGTAAGGATTCAAGGTTTAAAGAAGAGAGATTCTTAGGCCTAGTTCTTACGTACTACATGATAACTGAGCATATCAGGAAATAATTCATGTCCATTGGTGTAATTTGTTTGAAGTTGTAAACAAATTAAATTTTCTGGTTTCTGTGGGTAGAAAAGAGGGAACCACGTGGAACAGTAGATTTGCTTTGCAGTCTTGTTAAAGATTTATTTTTGTACCCACAAATTAGTAGCAAACTGAAAATACCTACCACAGGTAGGACTCCCTGCTTTCTGGTTTCGAGATTCCAGAGATGAGCTATTTTTCTTGGGAGCTACTTCTAAAAACTTTTAAAAACATTTTTCTGCTGAAATTATATCTTCTATTACCATTCTCTCTCTCTTTTTTATTGACCAACATTTTTTAAATTTAGAGCCAAATAATCACATCCTCTCAGAGAGATAGAGGGAGTTGGGGGGCAAATCTTGCTGAAAGTGTCATGTGGGGAGTGATTGTTCTCAGACCCAAGCCCAAGAACCTTAATAGGTGTTCTTTTTTGTTTGTTCATTGGGTTTTGCTTTTTTTTTTCATTTCATTTCATTTCTTTCTTTCTTCTTTTTTTTTTTTTTGACAGAGTCTTACTCTGTCACCCAGGCTGGACTGCAATGGTGTCATCATAACTCACTGCGGTCTGGAACTCCTAGGCTCAAGTGATCCTCCTACTTAAGCCTCCTGAGTAGTTGGGACTATTTTTTTTTTTTAGAGATGAGATCTTGCTATGTTCACAGGCTGGCCTTGAACTCCTGGCCTCAAGCTATCTTCCTGCCTCAGCCTCTTAAGGTGCTGGGATTACATGGGAGAGCTACCAAGCCTGGCCTACACCATGCTGTAATCAGGGCCTGGGAACTACAAAATTTCATTTTCCTCATTGTCCTGTTTTACAGTGGCATTGGTATCATTTAAGGAAATCCAGGACTCAAGGGCCCTCTTCTTTCAGCCCGCTGCCACCATTGCCGTAACACCTTCAGTAGAGATTCCTTTAGGTGGCCAATACTCCAGATTTTCAGTCATCCTTCAGTGTGAATTAATTTTTATCAGTTTGCTTTTTTACAAGAAATTTTAAAATAATAGAAGAAATAGACATTTTTAATGCGGGAAAGGAAAAGATTGAGTTTCCATTTTGGACACAGGGAACCTGGGGAGCAGTCAGAGGGCAACATGAAGACCCAGGCCTTCCCACGGCAGGGAGAGAGGCCAACAAAGGACATGACAATTTTCCCGAGGCCCAGCCCTGCCTTTTGCTTCTTTTCTCAGGCCAGTGGCAGCTGCCATTTGATTTTGGTGAAGTATCAGCCAACCCCTTCTCCACGCCTCACCCTTCTGAGGAGTGAGGAATGTAGGAGATGAGAGCTGACCACATGATGAGTCCAAAGGCATGTGCAGGGCGGGCCTGAACTGGGCGTGTAGAACAAACCAGGCATTCATGGGAAAGGCCGTATTCCTTCCCTTGCCCTCTGGGCACTAAGAAGGTCTTCAATTAAATGTATATCTAAAATTCCGATTTGATTGTACATTGTCTGTTTTCCAATTTGCCCCTAAAATCTAGGTGTTTTTAGACTTAGACTTTTAAAAGGGTAATTTTCCTTTTTAAGTCTTCTTAGTTTAATGGAATCATTTTTAACATGTGAAAGTTCAATAAATCCTATGAATTGGGTCAATCTTGTCACATCTGACTAAAACAGAGTGGAGCCAGGAAGAAAAAGAACTCAGGGTACCTAACACCACTCCAAGAATGTAAATCTCTGCAAGCTTCATTGCCGAAATTGCCTGCTGTAACCTGAAACCAATTTTATCTAATGGCCACTCAAACAACCGGCTGGGGTTTATCTCACCGCCAGTCAAAACCTGCCATTTCCCAAGACCTTAGGAGTGCCAGTGAATTTGCTCAAAGCACAATACATAACATCTCCCTTTTTGTAAAACCTCTAATCTTCCCTTTGCTCTTCGGACATTCTGTAGACCACTTGTTCTGTGTGTATACCCCAAATTGCAATTCATTCCTGCCTAATAAAAGTTTTACAAATTGTAGACATTTGTCTATTTTATTTGACTTTGAAACATGTAGTATTATTCTTTCCTTATTTGTGTAAGGTGAAAATTATGCTATTTTAGTGTGCAAGAAAATAGCTTTTTAAAACTTTCATTTTTTTCCCCAGTGAATGATTTTCAATTTTTTTATGTAAATTTACAGGTTTTTTTTTTATTTTCATAAAGAAGCAATTAACTGTCTAAACGTAGTAGGGTTATTTTGCAATGTTTTAAATAGAACTTTAATTTTGCTATTAAAAGAAGTTACTTTGCTTGTAAAGAAACGTGGCAGGTTAAACATGTAAAAATTGGATGTATAAAGTAATATTTACAGATATAGGATGTAATAAAACAATGTTAATTTGGTTTCTTGTCTTTGCTATATTTAGAGATTAAGTGATTCCAAGGTGATCATGTTGCAAAATTGTGCTTAAGGCTGGCATGGAAATAGAAAACCTCAATAATGTCTTTGTTGTATTAGTGGGGGCTATTTTAGAGAATGGGTCTGTGGGGTGGGGAACCTGCAGCCTCCAGGCCACACGTGGCCCTCTAGATCCCCAAGTGTGGCTCCTCAAAGGCTGCACTCCAGGATCCAGAAGGCCACATGTGGCCCCAAGTCAGTAGGTTCCCCACACTTTGAATTGTATATTGAATTTCCATTAGGTATAAAAGGCATGAGAAGGTGGTTGCAACTGCTGAATATTGCAGAAATAATACACCGATAAAGAAATTTTACTTTGAGGAGCATTGTAGTCAAGGTAAAGCATTATGAGTTAAAAAATCGGGCAATGTTCCAGTCTTGATTCTGCCACTTACAGGATAGATAATGCCTGAGCACTAATCTCAAGATGATCCAACCAACTAAGGTGCTGTGTGCTTCATAGCAAATCTTTTCCTCATGTATGAGTGTACTCTCCCACAGATGTAAGGCTGACCATTTCAAAAATGTATTAGTTATATCAAAAGCCTCAAATTTTAATATAATTTGTACCACAATTGAAATTCCAGGAATTTTATTGTGATTGTTATTTTTGTGTGTGGCTTCAAGAATGTTCATTGGATTTTTGTTTGTAATAGCAAAACACTGGACAAATTCCAAGTGTCCAGCAGTATTGATTAGGTTGAATATTGGGTCCTAATGGCTGAGAAGCATGAGCCCTAGAGCCAGCAGGCTTGGCTCTGAATCTGGATGTGCCACTTACTTGCTGTGCAACCTTAGAAAAACTACTTATTCCCTCTCTTAATTTTCTCATCTTTAAAATCAGAATAACAATACCAACTCCATGAGATTGTAGGGATTATTAAATCAGTTATTAATATATTTAAAGCACATAGAACATTGCATGTAGTAGAATTATAAGTGTTAGGTACATAGTAAAATTGGGTAGTTGGATATACTATAAAACAATATCTAATCTCTTTTCAGGGAAAAAATTATGCTTGTACATATAAAAATATTCCTGAAACAAATTATTTCCAGACAATGGAATTATAGATGATTTATGCTTTCTATATTGATTTTCCACAATGAACATTAATAACATTTTTAATTTACCAAAACAGTTAATAGCAGGCTAGACAGCTTCTTTTTGACTCTTACATTATTTAGAGTTAGGATTGGTTTCATGGACAGAAAACTTAAACAAATAGTATCAAGATTAAATTTGTAGACCTTTCTAATCTGATAGTTTGTTTTGATTCTACAGGTTGGAACTTCAGAACTTTCATTTTCCCTTTACTTAAAAAAAAATTGTGGTAAAATTCATAAAACATAAAATTAACCATTTTAAAGTTTTCAATTCAGTAACTTTTAACACAACATTCAGAATGTTGTGTAACCATCACCACTATCTAGTTCCAGAATATTTTTATCACCCCAAAAGGAAACCGTTTAAGCAGTCACTCCTCATTTCCCCACTCATTGGTTTCTGGCAACCATTGAACTACTATTTGTCATTATGGATTTTCCTATTCTGGACATTCATAGAAATGGAATCATATAATACGTGGCTTATGTCTGGCTTCTTTCATTGAAATTGAAAACTTTTGTGCATCGCTTTCCTTTGGAAAGAAATCCTGGAATATCTGAAAGGACTTGTCCAGACTTTTCTCAGAAACAGTATGACTATTAGTCTTCCATCAAATTCAAAATGAGTATTTCATAAAAATCAAATGAGATAAAGCAAATAACCTTATATTACTTGGGGTAATATAAGTAATATAAGTAAGTAACTTATATTACTTATATAAATGGGGATAATAAGTATAACAATATGTACTAATACGTTATTT